AGCTTGGTTGTTTTCTTGCAAATGTTTCATTACCCAGCTAGGTAACATCTTCAGTGCAGGAACTCTTGTTTTCTAGTGTAAATTGCATATATGACTTCAGAGGAAGGTAGGGCAATTGGACTTGGGCAGTGCAGGATTCTAATCTAAATGAGCCACTTCATTAATTCCTAATTTTATACTAGAAAGTTAGGTTGCAAATTGTAGATCAAGTTTGGCTCTAAGAAAAGTAGTATGGAGAGATATATACTTTTTCTATCCAGTTCTTAAACATCAATATACTATTCATACCGCATTGCTATTGCATACAGTAAGAAACAAAGCGTACATATGCAACTTGTGGTTATTTAACCATGTATGTCCTAAAGTTTAGGGAGATTGTTTTCTGTTAAGATAGAGATGATTTTGTTTTCTTCATCTGAGATCTTTTTCTTAATAGATCTTAATAGTTACCTGACAAAGAAGCAAGCATCACGTATAAATATAGTTACATTTTTTTCCAAAGGTCAAGAATAGAAATCAGAGCTCTATCTTTTCAAGCAAGACATATTATAAACATGTTAGTCCATTCTCAAATTTACTAAGGCTAAGAGAGTTATCAGAGAATGGCTCTTAGATATTGAATATCAGACGAGAGAGGCCTTGTCCCAACATTGGTCCAAGTACAGTTTAACTACCGCAGGTATAAACCAGCTAGTTATATCAATTCATTGGTCTTCCCATTTCAACAAAGGTTTTTCTTAGATAGAGTAGCTTCCTTTCTATACTTTTATATAGGAGATTTAGTAGCTGGTTCCCATAGTTGGTTGAACCTGCCCTTGTGTTGATGGCTCACTTGAATCCATCCTCCATGTACTGTTACGCTTTATAGTCTCTGTAATGGTACTTAAGGAAGATTCATCTTTCCTCTATTGTTACATGTTCCAAGTCAGTCTGAGGAATCTTACATTAATTTCCTTGTATCAAATAAGAAAAGCCTTATTATACATAATAAGCTGTACAAAGCTGTGAATGTGTGCAAACAACTTTTGATCTACAGTACATGAGTAACTTCTTCATATTTTCTCCATCTATCTCTGGTCATATGTGAATAAATTAGCAATTATAACATTTATACTTTAGATTATTAGATTTTTACAGTACAATTTATTTTTATATTAATTTACTGCTGTATAGACTGAGTATAAAAATTTAGAATTCACTTACAATTAATGTTGTGGTTCATTTTTCTTATCTAATTTTAAATATCAGTTTTAGTTCTCAGTCTTGGTGTTAATAAATGCAGTGATGCATTATTTTAGTTACATAAGTACATTTCACTTGCATGGCTGGATTTTATTATATTTTGTTTTTCAGTTGGCCATGACCAAGGTAATAGCTATCTATCTACTTACCTACCCACAATCCCTATAACAGCAATAAAATATAAGTGGCAAGTGATATTAAGAGTTTTAGAAGAACACAGTGGTGAGAACTTAGGATAATCGTTGAATCTCTTGAAGAATTTTTAATTGAAGCCACTATACAGTATATGTTTCTAGAAAATATCTTGCCACAATTTTTATCAGTGATATGACTCACTCTTCTGTAGGAACACATTGTGACAAGGCTGCCCTCTTATGTTCAGTGAGCTCATCTTGATTAAGACTCTGACTAGGTTCTTGTGATAGTGCTTTACTGGAAATGTATTCTGTTTTGTTTTGTTTACAATTTTCAGTCAACTTAATGAAAATGTTTTAAAGAAGATAAACTTGGGGGGGGGGCTTTCATGGATAGGGTATCAGTTTGGCTCAGTCTGGAGTCCAGCCCATAGTTTATACTGGGGCACATTGTCCTTAAAGTGTTTGCTTCTACTGTTTTAGAACTAAAAGCTTCTGTAAAGCCATTACAATATTGTCTCAGCAGTTGCCCTGAACCAAACATTATCAGTTTACTAGATGTAAATAATATCCTGAATCCTAAAGAGAAAAACTAAAAGGAACCTAATGGAAGGCCCTTTACCATTCCTTGGGACAATGTAGAAGATTCCATTCCCATTTCTCACTAGTGTTCAAGAGGGTCTCCGAGTGTCTGGAAAGGCAAAAATGGATAGGGACTTCTTGCTTTTATCTCTACTTATACTAGTGAGGACCCAAGACAGTATGATTGATGCATGACATGTACATTTTAATATCATATATTGCAGCAATTAATTTAAGAAAATAGAAGGATTTCTTCTATTTTCTTTTCCCCATGTATTTTTCTTCTTAAAAATAAAGATTATGCAACTTGCGCTCCCTGACGTGTGCCAATTATCTCCTAATAGTCATGGCTAAAAGGATTAATACGTGTGTGGTGGTATGAAACTGTCACTATTAATTCATTATAGCAAAAACAATGAGCTCATGTATATTTGTAGTTCTGTTGACTTTAAGGATACTTCCTCACAAAGATTCTGTGTCACTGGGAAACAGCTTCAGAGGTCTGCAGTGCTGGAATGCCAGACTCAGTTGGAGAACAGTGAAGAATTCTACAATGCTTGGCTTATTGGTTTTAGAAGCGTCATCGTTCCATTTCCCTAACTGAGGGAACACTTCATTGCTCTTCTTAGCATTCAAGTCCTTATAAGGGGAATCCTAGCATTTTGTGAGTCTTCCAGACAAAATGAACAAGGAATTTGTCATTTTGTCCCTTCTGTGTAGTAAGGGATCAGCCAAAATGCAAAGCATTGGTCTTTTTGTTCTCGCTCGCTCTCGCTCTCATATGAAGTAGTAAGAAGGGATTTTAGTTTGTGCAAAATCTGCAAGATGGATCAGGAATTTTCCTTCCTTCTTAGAATTTCAAGTCAGCAGAAGTGAAGACAATCACAGATGGCCTTCAAAGTACATCTGAGGATTTGGGGAATGAAAACAGTAGTGACAGGGATGTATAACTTTTCTCAGTTGTACATTGTTGTGCTTAGACTGGACTGTAAGAAAAAAATCATTATACACAGATTATTAAAGTATGAATGTATGTTTATAGGTGGCCTCCTGTATGCAGTTAATGGGAAGCCTTACCCTGGAGATAGGGAGCCAGTGCAAGCATTCGTGATGAACTTTTCAACTGGAGAAATCATTGACACTTTCATTCCACTTAGAAAGGTAACACATTGTGAAGCTTGACTTGGTTTTATTAAAAATGCATGAATACTCATTTACTTTTTCTCCCCGCTTTCTTCATCCACAACATTTCAAACTTTGGTAAGAAAAATCTTAGATTACCTAGATACTTTTTTTAAAAAAATAATGTTTTATGGAATTATTCCTCTAACTCATGTAATGGAACTTTCACATTAGGTCCAGCGCAGTCCTGTGCTTACCACCAAAATGTTTAATTTAACAATGCATGGGATTTGCTGGTTCAGAAAACTATTTTGAAGGATTTATTAAAAGAGTTCAGCCCACACAAGAAACTAATATACAAGACAAAATACCACAACACCAGTTTAACAATAATGTGGCAATAGCCAATAAGATATCAGCATATGTTTTCCTTTAAAGATTTACATGAGTTCTAAGTGGTCCATTGGAATGAATCAATTATTGCATAATATGCTTCCTATAATGTGCAGTACTGACCCAGATAATGCATTGGATACTGGATTACATCTAGAGTTATCCTAAGGACTTTGGGCTATTCATGGGTGCTCGAGAGCAGTGAATTCAACAACTTTTAATTTGCCAAATTCTGAAAGCATGCTTAGTTGCTGAACAGCAAGTAGATGGATTTGCACTTTTTTGATTGCTTTTTTTAATTTCATAGTTGAATTTTCCCTGAATTAAAACAGGAGGAGGGCAAATTTAAACACATTGATGAAATAGTTACATTAATCTGTGTCTACTGAGGATCAACAAATTCCTGTGGCCAGAGAGATATGAAACACTTCTAGAAGAACTTTAAAACAAGAGAATGCCAACTAGACAGAAAAATATGGCCCAAGAGATGAAAGCTATCTGTACAGAATTCTGATTTCCTAATAGTGTATTGTAAGGCTAACCAAGCATGCATAAATACATTTGGAAATTGGAGTTTTATATCCTATTACTGGATCTTGATTTGATGTTATTGCCTTATTGTTGAGTTTTGAGTTTTATCACTAAGGCATGGTCTACATGAAAATACAGAACAGAAATTGATTAATAGCCCCATCTTGATGCTTCATGGCAGTTGAAATGCATTTTCAACAGGCCCTCTGTTTTTTTAATATATTTGCACCATAGTTCAACAAAGAAAGAGGAAATGCTTTCCCAATATGTTTCAGTGAACCATCTCATTTTCTACTTAGCTTTAAACTATACCACATACAATATCTAGCCCAGAGTTTACTCAGCACACAGTGGCTTATTGCTTCATATGGAAAGGTCTTTTATTTAATTAGGCTGCAGCCACAAAGAGACAGAGTACAGGCCAAGAAATAAATTTGATTTGTTAGCATGAGAGAAGAGAGATTTTAGCAGTGAGGGCAAGTCACTACATTGTATTTGTTTTTTCTGTTATTTTCAGCTTGTCTGTAGCTGCCACTATGCATGTAATATCAGCCTGCCATCAGATTAAAATTAATCAGTATTCTAGGTTTTCATCTGCTTTGAAAACTTAAAGCAAATGTCAAGTGCACCTTGAATTAATTCCTTTTTCCACCTGTGTGTTTAATTTCTGATTATTGAGATTAGGAAACAAACAGCATTGTTTAGTAAAAACCACAAATATCAATCTTAGTAAAAGAATGATGGCTTCAAAGTAATCTAGGATATTTTTCAGAATGGAATATCCCTGGGGCCTTGCATTTATAGTTATAAAGTATGTTTTGTTGTTTCTTCAACCATATCTCTGCTAGGCATACAAAGAATCTTTCACTGTGTACACAAATTATGATTAGATAGCACTTTCATAGTGCTTTTATCTGTAAGATTTAAAGACAAACTTTCTTTGTAAAGTAGAGAATAGTGAAATATTGTAAATCAGCAAGCAAGACCATTTTAACCCAGTGGGGTATAGATTACCATGTATGCTCTGGAAAAAGACTTCCCACAGTATAAACTTGCTATTCATATTAGTGCAAGGAGCCACATTTGGTCTGTTACCATCCCCCAGAGGGTCCTCCAGAGTGACTGAGGCCAAGAATTCTGGCTTTGTGTATGTATGGCTATGTGTTTGAGGAGACTGAGAAATAAAATGTGTGCTATAACCCTTACAGACCCTTAAGGCACCAATTCCCAACCCCCCCCCCCCCCCCACAAAAAACCCCCCCCCCCCCCCCACA